TATATGCGCTAAATGATCATTGACACGTATTGTGATATAATTTTACGCATGTTACCTTAAAAAAACGTCTTAATCTCATTATTTTTGTCTTACAATAAATACTCAAAAATACAATGGTGATTTGAAATATTTAAAGCAGAATTAAAAAGATATATTTTACTGAAAATAGAACTACAATGCAATTTATAAAAATTTAAAAAGTGATGATTAATTTTGTAAAATAATAAAAATATATAGAAATCAAATACAAAAACTAAAACCAAATTTTCGTGTCTTTCCCTTTATCCCAGAGCCTTGAAGTAGAGACGTTGAAGAATCTTCATTAAAAAATAACTCTTCTACGTTGAATTATTTATATTTAGACAACTTATGACGAGTAAGCAATCCAGTGACAGCATCTTTACCTACTAAAGGCAGACAAAAAGAACTCGATCAGATAAATGCATTCATAACCTAATTTTTGTAAGATAAATTAAAACACATTTACCCAAAATAAGCTGTTATTATATAGAATTTTATTTTGAAAAATATTTTTTTAATAATTTTTTCTTGATAATTTTTTTTTAAAATGTAATAATTTATAATTGATCCATTTTAAATATTATTATTAATAAGATAATAATTTATTGTCAGAAAGTTATCGAAAAAATTTGTTAACATGTTTTTTTTTATTGTTTTCGGTCTCTTTGTCTCTCTCCACTCACTGTCTTAACACGAAGACCAATTGAAAAACGAAGCAAAACTATCAACTAATTTACATCAGGACAACGCTATATACAACTTTTTTATATTAAATTCATTAATACTTTATATTATTTTCGTCAGCCATGTTTTTTTTTTAATATTGCGTCATCAATCATGATAGCAAGTGTATTGCTTTTGAGGTAGACCTTCTACTGTATAACCAAACTATATTTTTAATAGCATAAATGATTTTGTGTTAATCTCTTCTAAACTATATCTTCTGTTACAGTTTCCCAACATTGGAATATGTTTGCTTCCAACTAAGTAAAATATAGACATAGGAAATACATGAAGAATAAAAACGAGAACAAAAATATTAAAATAGAAACGTGTAGATTAAACTTTCCACGCAAAATCTTAAAAGATTTACACACAACTTAATATATAATCGATTAATGTACGAGAACATTGATTATATAGGAAATATTATTGAAATTTATATAATATAATTCAACACACATATTTATTATATTTATGTTATATAATAAAAATAGATAAATTTGGATGCAGGCATCTGATGTGTTGCTGGAAATATTGAGTTTGATTAAATGCCTAAAAAGTGATGCAAGATTTATTTGGCAATCACGAACTCGAGATACTCAAACCTTCGGCTAAAAAAATGGTCACGCATGTGCAAAATTTTTCCCTAAGCAAAGTGGCAAACCATTACTTCACAAACAAAACATGCACGTTGCATAGAACAATTTAGATTTTCTTTTGCTAGATTTTTGTTACCATTTTTTTATGTCTTCACAATACATTAATTTTTATATTTTAAATAGAGGATATGGGGCCTTCTTCTTTTACCCCGTTGTTTTTTTTTTCTGCACCTCTAATTTTTTTCTTACTTCCCATTTTGCCCCTTTCATCTTCGGATCTGGTTAGAAGAATCGAATTACATAATTCGGGTAAAGGAATTGTGCACTATGATATGAAGTTCCAGATCGGAGAGTGAGAATCAGATTACCTAATCCGAAACTTATCAGATTGGACTATCTGGATATCTCCGGGGAAATGCTCACCAGATTGATAAATATGTTTAACTTTTCTCGAATCTAGAATTTATATCGGATTGTGCAGTTCGGTAACTACACCTTGGAAAATATTAACTAGATTGCAAATTCCGGTTTAAATAACTTCTAGATTAGATAATGTCCTCGGACGCAGATGACGGCATGGCTGGTGGTGCTACTCGCAGATCGAAAGGAACTAAGGAAGCTCCAACACGAGGGAGAAGGATTCTTCAAGAAACTACTGCAATTCGCTGCCAATGTCAGGGTCGTCGTTAAAGTCGTTGATGTTGCTTCCCTTTTCCTCCTCAGCGCATCCTCTTCCCCAATCCCTAGGGTTTCACAAGCCACCATGGATCTCCCTTCCCAAGTCGTGAAGCCATGGTGCTGCAACCTCACCTTTTCCTTCGTGTCAGAGNATAAAAAAGATAAAAGAAAATAAATATATTTAATAATTTAAAATACAAAGTAGAGTTGGTATAAGATAAATAAAAATATTTTACAAAAGATTAGAATTACTCTTTCAACTTAAGCGAAATAGATATCAAAAGGTGTGCGTTAAGTTGCACACGACATTGAGGATGTATTATTGTATTGTATTACGAGCTTTAAGCTTATGAAACGTCCCACGAGATCTTCTTCGGAGTTCTAACATTCCTGAACTTAGCCAAAAAAACGTTTACTTTTACTCTGTGGATTTACTAACGACAACGTTTGGTACACAAAACCAATAAAATCGAGAATAAAATACTCATATATCCCAACATGCGAAATCTTTTATGTGTCAAAACTAATTATGCACTATTAATATCCCGTGTAACAAGATAAAATGCGAAAACGACAATAGCCATATACGCGAAAGAAGGTTTCCTCTTTGTTCACTTGAATGGGATTAAAGAAGAGTAATTGAGAGAATTTGAAGATAAATTTTTTTATTATTTATTTGAGTTGATTTGGAGGTAAGTGAGTGTGGATTTAGAAGTAAAATTTGTAAAAATTAGTGTAAAATTTGATTGATATGACAGATTAAAAAAATTTACTTCCAAATTCACCCTTACTTATCTCCAAATCCTCTCAAATTCCTTAGATTACTTTTCTCCAAATCCATCCAAGTGAACAAAATCATTGCGGACATCTTTTTATTTTTTTTCTTTAAACTTGTTAGTTTGGTCGGCACATCATGTGAACAAAGTTTAAAAAATTTAAATATAAACTTGAGTATCGTATTAATAAGAGTTTAAGTAATATATAAGAAAAAATTCACGAATTCTTTATAGATACTATCATATTATAATGATGTATAATAAGTGAATTTTGGTTTAGATTTTTGTAAGATATATGCGCTAAATGATCATTGACACGTATTGTGATATAATTTTACGCATGTTACCTTAAAAAAACGTCTTAATCTCATTATTTTTGTCTTACAATAAATACTCAAAAATACAATGGTGATTTGAAATATTTAAAGCAGAATTAAAAAGATATATTTTACTGAAAATAGAACTACAATGCAATTTATAAAAATTTAAAAAGTGATGATTAATTTTGTAAAATAATAAAAATATATAGAAATCAAATACAAAAACTAAAACCAAATTTTCGTGTCTTTCCCTTTATCCCAGAGCCTTGAAGTAGAGACGTTGAAGAATCTTCATTAAAAAATAACTCTTCTACGTTGAATTATTTATATTTAGACAACTTATGACGAGTAAGCAATCCAGTGACAGCATCTTTACCTACTAAAGGCAGACAAAAAGAACTCGATCAGATAAATGCATTCATAACCTAATTTTTGTAAGATAAATTAAAACACATTTACCCAAAATAAGCTGTTATTATATAGAATTTTATTTTGAAAAATATTTTTTTAATAATTTTTTCTTGATAATTTTTTTTTAAAATGTAATAATTTATAATTGATCCATTTTAAATATTATTATTAATAAGATAATAATTTATTGTCAGAAAGTTATCGAAAAAATTTGTTAACATGTTTTTTTTTATTGTTTTCGGTCTCTTTGTCTCTCTCCACTCACTGTCTTAACACGAAGACCAATTGAAAAACGAAGCAAAACTATCAACTAATTTACATCAGGACAACGCTATATACAACTTTTTTATATTAAATTCATTAATACTTTATATTATTTTCGTCAGCCATGTTTTTTTTTTAATATTGCGTCATCAATCATGATAGCAAGTGTATTGCTTTTGAGGTAGACCTTCTACTGTATAACCAAACTATATTTTTAATAGCATAAATGATTTTGTGTTAATCTCTTCTAAACTATATCTTCTGTTACAGTTTCCCAACATTGGAATATGTTTGCTTCCAACTAAGTAAAATATAGACATAGGAAATACATGAAGAATAAAAACGAGAACAAAAATATTAAAATAGAAACGTGTAGATTAAACTTTCCACGCAAAATCTTAAAAGATTTACACACAACTTAATATATAATCGATTAATGTACGAGAACATTGATTATATAGGAAATATTATTGAAATTTATATAATATAATTCAACACACATATTTATTATATTTATGTTATATAATAAAAATAGATAAATTTGGATGCAGGCATCTGATGTGTTGCTGGAAATATTGAGTTTGATTAAATGCCTAAAAAGTGATGCAAGATTTATTTGGCAATCACGAACTCGAGATACTCAAACCTTCGGCTAAAAAAATGGTCACACATGTGCAAAATTTTTCCCTAAGCAAAGTGGCAAACCATTACTTCACAAACAAAACATGCACGTTGCATAGAACAATTTAGATTTTCTTTTGCTAGATTTTTGTTACCATTTTTTTATGTCTTCACAATACATTAATTTTTATATTTTAAATAGAGGATATGGGGCCTTCTTCTTTTACCCCGTTGTTTTTTTTTTCTGCACCTCTAATTTTTTTCTTACTTCCCATTTTGCCCCTTTCATCTTCGGATCTGGTTAGAAGAATCGAATTACATAATTCGGGTAAAGGAATTGTGCACTATGATATGAAGTTCCAGATCGGAGAGTGAGAATCAGATTACCTAATCCGAAACTTATCAGATTGGACTATCTGGATATCTCCGGGGAAATGCTCACCAGATTGATAAATATGTTTAACTTTTCTCGAATCTAGAATTTATATCGGATTGTGCAGTTCGGTAACTACACCTTGGAAAATATTAACTAGATTGCAAATTCCGGTTTAAATAACTTCTAGATTAGATAATGTCCTCGGACGCAGATGACGGCATGGCTGGTGGTGCTACTCGCAGATCGAAAGGAACTAAGGAAGCTCCAACACGAGGGAGAAGGATTCTTCAAGAAACTACTGCAATTCGCTGCCAATGTCAGGGTCGTCGTTAAAGTCGTTGATGTTGCTTCCCTTTTCCTCCTCAGCGCATCCTCTTCCCCAATCCCTAGGGTTTCACAAGCCACCATGGATCTCCCTTCCCAAGTCGTGAAGCCATGGTGCTGCAACCTCACCTTTTCCTTCGTGTCAGAGTCGAACGTGATCGCCAACCTTACTACACCTCTGCCATGCTGTGTTGTTAGCCAAAAGCACCACCGATGTTACCACCAATCTTCCTCCTCGATTGTTTTTTAACCTTCTTCCTACTCTTTAACGTTGTGGGTACTAGATGAAAATGTGATGATTAAATGTGTTTTCTGGTTGTGGGTACCGGATGAAAATGGGGTTTGCTGTTTTTTATGTTGCTTGTGTTTGGTATGTGTGAAAGATGATTGACGATGTTGGATTGAGAATTAGGTTTGTGATGTTGAACATTGGAGTGGATGAAGAAGAGGTGTTGGTGAAGATGGAAATATTGTGTGATAAAATTATGTGCTTGAGAGGATGAACATAATGATTGGACAAGATATAAGGTCCAATGAAGAGGCGAACGGAATGGCCTGATGAGGAAGAAGATGGAAAATGTCGGGTTAAGGCAAAGATTGAAGATGAAATGAAAAATGGAGAGGAATAAATGTTTTTATTAAAAGAATAAAGAAGAGCTGCTTCACGGGTCGGTCATCTGAACAAGAGAGATTGACTGTGAAGTTTTGGCGGGAAGCTGACATTCTTTCCAAGCTTCATCATCCAAATGTGGTTGCATTTTATGGTGTGGTACAGCATGGACCAGGTGGTACAATGGCCACTGTGGCAAAATATATGGTGGATGGTTCTCATAGGCATGTATATCTTGATCGTCGGAAGAGGCTGATAATTGCAATGGATGCAGCTTTTAGAATGGAATATTTGCACTCGAAAAACATTGTGCATTTTGACTTAAAATGTGACAATTTGCTTGTAAACTTGAAAGATCCTTTACGTCCAATACGCAAGGTTGGTGATTTTGGCTTATCAAAAATTAAGAGAAATACTTTGGTTACTGGTGTGCGTGGGACACACTACCTTGAATGGCACCAGCTTCTGAATGGCCGCAGCAATAAGGTCTCAGAAAAGGTTGATGTGTTCTCCTTTGGCATTGTATTATGGGAAATTCTTATTAATGTGTAACGCAAACACAAAGCACGTTGGTTCCTATTTGATCAAAACATTGAAGGTGGCCACATCGATCCCTCCATTGCTATAGAAGATATAATAGAATGAAATTCATCCCACAGAACGTAGTTAAGGAATTGAATTTTTTGGAGTAATATCATCATTTTGGACCTCATCTTTAAGATGAAGGCTAAGGAATTGAAACGCTGAAATCATATGTACAACAAATTTTGATAATACAGAGGTTGCAAGGCCAACCAATGATAAAACTCTACTTGACGTACTCAATAGCGCAAGGGTTTAAGAAGATATTCTTAATTTATTGGTTGTCACACATGGCTATAATTACTGTACGTAACTTTTGGATATTCGCCAATAAATATACAGAGAGAGGGATTGAAAAGTTGTAGCATGCACGATCTTTGACCAGTGTTAAATGTTAACTTCTCATATAGATTAAATAAACGAATTACGATTGATAAATTTCAATCGAATTGTTGCTTACGAGATAAACTACGCAAAAAGGTTATTCTGACAAAATTAGAAGAAAAATATATAGCGATGAAAGGAAACTTAATTTTCTTCCTATTACCCTAAAAAAAATACCACGATTATGAGTATAACACCCAAGCATGAGGCACTGCATTTTTCACATATAAAGTTGGCAACTAATGGGCTTTCCTCCGTTGTCCAACGCGCCGTTGCCGGTGTTGTTCTGAAAGACAACCTTCAAGCCGTCACAAATCGCTAATACCAACGACATTCTCGTGTTAAATGTGCTAGACTTGAACTCCACCATGGAAGCAATCCTCAGAATGAGCGAAACGGAGCCACTGGCTTGTTCCTTCGCCATCTCATGCATGTCCGGCGTCAAAAACGAAAACCCAATCGACGACATCTTCGCATTGATTCGCTTAACCTCCTTCTTGTCCAACTCGAAATCGGGTACGTAACTCATCGCTAAAACGTCGTTTTTGTGCAAGAGATCCACTTTGAAGCCGGATAAGAATCCGTTAAGCTTGTCGTTGACGTTTTGAATGGAGAAGGTGGTGTTCCAATCCGCGGTTAGCGTAGTAGAGGCGTTGAAGTTGGAGACGGAGAGGGAATTAACGGTGTAAGCGGGTAGTTTGGGGTGCATCATTAGCGCCATGACAAGGGTGGCAACGAAGAGGCCGGTCAATATTACACAGCAAAATATTAGGAAACCACGAACGAAGGCTTTGTTTTTACCAGTGTCGTGATGGGTGGGTGGATCGCTGAAGTATGGGCCTGCGGGGTAATGGTATACTTGAGGTTGTGGATGGCAGTCATTAGGGTATGGGTCATATCTTGGAGGATAACCTTGGAGAGGCATGGGTGGTGGCTCGTATCCCATTCCTGGTGAATAATACATCCTGTTTGGTGGTGCCGCCATGGTTGGTGATTGTGGACCATCACCATGCATGTGGGAAGAGGGCTCATAGGAGAAAGATCCTTTTGGATGATGTTCTCTGCAACCGTGGTATGGATCCATCGTGATACTTTCTCCGATTCTCCCCCTCTCTCAATTCTGATTTCGAGAGGGAGAATCGAGAGAACCACCAATGTGGTGCTGTTTTTTTTTAATACATAAGAAAAACAGAGACTATATATTTAGATTGAAAAAATAAAATAGAAAGCTTGATGATGGTGTGAGGTGTTTCTTTCTCTTAATTGGTTATGTGAGCTATTATGCAGACATATTGAATTTAATTTAGGTGTAATTGACAAGATTAATGCTTTACGTTCTAATTTCATAAAAATCACTTTTTTGTCCGAAGAAAGTATGGTGATCGGGGAATAACGATAGTAATGCTTTGATTTGATTTGGAACTAGGAATAACATTTTTACGACCTTTATTTTGAATATTAATTATTTAACAACTTTATACTTTATGTATAAGTAAGATATGTTTTAATTTTTATTATTGTTGTCATTACAATTGAGAAATGTTAAAACATAATTTTCCCTTCCATATTTTTTTTTTCAGTTTCTCAGTTACGATAAAAAAAAATGAAAGCTGTGGTATGTTAATGTCTCCATCTAAAAGAGACGAGTATCTAAAATTATACTGTTTTAATGTTCTGTATCATGTTTATTTTTAGATAGAAGAAAAATATTGTTTTATCTCTTATTCATGAAAATTTTCCATTTTGTAATTTTAATTTCATAAATGAGAAATAAAAAATAAATTATTTTATTAAGAGTAACTATCAAACGTGACATATTTTTAAGACAGAAACTTAAAAAAATTATATTATTTGGACTAATCAAACATGTCTACATATAGGCCAATTAAAAAAAAAATACTTAACTCTCAGTAAAACAAAGTTGTTGCATGTATTGTAAATATGATAGAAATAAAACAAAAAAAAAGAGTTTTTTTAGTTGAAAATATGATAGAGTTATAGCTTTTTAGCTTCAATTGTAAGGATAAATTAATTCAAAATCTTGTGTACTATATTAACTAAAATACTTTAAGATCTTTTTATTTTTCCTTAAATTTATTGCAATATAGCATTTACTTTTTGGATTGCGCGTCCAATTTAGTCCGTTTAACAAAATTAGCTCGATCTAAAATAAAGTACAATTTTATTTTTTTTAACTAGCCCAATCTGTTATAAGTATTTTATTAGTACAGCCATTTTATTATGTTCCATTATTATATATCTTCGCGGAACAAAAAAAATCTTACATATACTTATATTTAATTTCACGATAATTCTTTTAAGTAAAACTAAAATATTTTTAAAATTTTTTATCTCTAAATTGTCATAACAACAATCCATATATTTTCTATCACAGACCTACATTGGAATGAAGTAAATATAAAGTAAAATAAAATTCAACAAAAAATTAATTAGAAACTAAATTGATAATATAGTTAATCCTATTAGTTATAATTCTTTATATTTCCATTTAAAACTTTTGCATGTCGAGATATTTATTTATTTGATCAAACCAATTATAATATTTATTACTTGTTCTTTCTTTCTATAGCAAATCTTCCTTGCAAACAAAAAAAAAAAAGACACAGTAAACAAAGATTGTAAAAATGGAACCTGCATAAGTGATTTACTAGCATTTAGCCAAATGAATCAGCTAAAAAAAATTGGTACACGAGCTGAAGGAATACAAAACTCTCAAGCTTCAGAGCCAACCTACGTACTTAATTAGCTAGTAGATCAATCGCAGAAATTAATTAATGTTAATAAAATATAATCAAAAGAAAGAGAATGGCTTCCAATGTATGGGGATGATGAATCTCCTGTTAGGGTTAACCAACCTTCCTGAATTCTTATATTGCAGAAACTGAACCTTTAAGTCTTCACAATGAGGACTCATAAGCACATCTGCCACCCATGTTTCTCCATAGTAAATCGCCTCCACCTTCACTTGCATTCCGAAGCTCAACGACCCATCTTTCTCCTTATCTTTTCCCATCTCCTCCACTAACCCTTTCTCCACAAAAGGTTCACTGTTCTCCGACCCAATCTCCCCAGTTACGAACTTCAAATGCAGCTTCAAATACTCCCCTTTGTCCAGGTAAAAAGGGTACGAAGACGCCACAGAAACCGCATCTTCTGGATTCCGTTTATAGAATATCGTGAAGTGAATCACGCGGAAGTAGATGCACGACACGTTCGGGTTTGTCACCGTTAACTTCGCATCCCACGTCGCAGAGACTCCTCCGCTGCCTGTGGTGAAGTTCGAAAGGTACATCGAATTCAGAACGAAAATCGGGGGAACGGGGTTTTCATTTGGCGTCCACAACCGCTTGTATAATGGCAGCAATATCAGCATCATCAACAGCGTGAGGCCAAGGATGTCTTGAATCATTTCGCAGGCGCGTGAGCTGATGCTGAATATTTCTTCCGTGTAATAATTGTCGGACATGGCTGAACCTGACATTGTGGCCGTGGATTGCACGGAAACTGATACGGGTTGGTGTTCATGGTTTTCACTATCAGTTTCTGATCGGGGCACAGGGGAGAATCTATAAACGTGGCCTCGCTCGTTTTGAGGTTGTACGTTAGTTGTCGAGGAGGCCATCATGGGTGTAGCTTGGGATCTACAAATGAAGATGGGCGAGGTGTTGAGAGAACGAAATGGACGGAGAGAAAAGAAAGGGTCAGAGGATTGTATGTGGTTGCAGATTGTGGAAAACGCTCAAACGAACCCAAAATTCGTTGGCCATCTTTCCATGGGAAAGAGGGTGTTCGATTTCCTACACCTAATTAATGTCTTCAATTTTCTGCTTATATCAAATGTAGATATTTGTTTCCAGAGTTGCTAACAGGAAGAAATCAAGGTGAGAAAAAGAAATACTTCCATTTTTACTATATTTATGAAATCTATTGTTAGAAAAGTACAGTGGGTAAAAGGAGTCAATCATTTATTTATAGTATGTTTAATATCAAGTAGTTAAATGGGAGAAGAAAGAAAATATTGGAAATAAAGTAATAGTAATAATATCATAAATGAAACGGTAGAAATGAATTAAAAGATAACAACTCTTTAAATTAAAAGAAGATGAATAGAATTGTTGGATTAAAATTAAAAATCAATTAAATATATATTTTGCTTGTCTTTCTGTTTTTGTCCTCTATCGCGCAACACGAAGATAAAATCGTTAATTCAATTCTCATATAAAATCACATTTATTGACTAATATTACACTTCCCTTGTCTTTTTTTTTCTTTTTTTCATTTTACTAGTTCTCACATTCAATTTTTGACATTAAAATATTGTGGGCTGCAATTTAATGGACTTTTTCCTTTTCTTTTATATCTTTTTCACCCCAATTTTTTTTTCGCTTAATAAAATCGGTTTTTCAATTCCCATTTTTATCTATTTTACTCATTCCCCCTTTCGTTTTTAAATATTATAACCCTTTGAATTGCAATTTTGTTGTGTTCTCATTTATTATCATCCCAATATGTAAATAAATATTTAATACCATAAAATAGATTAATAAAATAAAAAAACTTTTTATTTTATAAGGTCTTACACACTCTATTCTAAATAGGATTGAA